ACTAACTATTTCTTAAACCAAACACTTATACTATAACTATTTCTTAAACCAAACATTAGTATTATCACTATTTCTTAAACTGAAAAACTGGCTATTTCTTAAACTGAACACTAATACTATCACTATTTCGTAAACTAAACATTGACTATTTCTTAAACTAAACACTAATATTATCAATATTTCATAAATTAAACACTAACTATTTCTTAAACTGAACACTAGTATTATCACTATTTTATTAACCATGGCAGAGAAAACAACTGACAATAGACAAAGCTCAACTGGAAAATGCACACTAGCACCTATGGTTTTGGGGGCCAAGAAATTAGTGGCCAATGGTTTGAAAAATAAACTTGGAAAAGGCATGTCATCAACATTAACTAGATATAAATGATTAGTTGTTACACTAATTAATGGATGAGTCATGAATATTCTAACAATGAATAGCAAACCCAAATAATTATTCTATACACGAGAATGTCGTCAAAAGTATTATGATGGTCGAATATCTTCGGGAAGTGTCATCCAAAGCAATTAGTCATTTAAGTCTAAAGAGAGCATGTCTTTCTCTAATTTTAGGAAAGATGAGAGCCTATTCCATTCTCACAAAAAGTTCAAATACGAAATCATTAGTTAAGATTATTATGGGAGATAGTTTATTACATTTTCGTTGAAAATTGCGAGAGTGAGAACATGAAGGGAGCATTGAAAGTACTAACTATCATCATTAAAGCTCCTAAACATGAAATAAAGAAAGAGGAAGGAGGCACGTGGGGCTATGAGGCTAGGGTTTGAAGCTACTAAAGAAAATAGGAGGGGCTGCTGCAATATATATGGTAAGTTTACAGAATTTACAATGCACGCGCTTTTGTGAGGTTATTTTTTGTTTTATTATTATTAATTTTTTTTGTCCTTATCATTAAATAAAATTATATGGTGGTTTTTTTTTAAATGCAAATTTTTTAAACCCTTTTCATTAATTTTTTTTTTTAAAGCACCACAATCTTGAACTAACCCTAATTGTCATGCTCAAGGATTACAAAAGACAGATATATTAAAAAACAACAAAGCCGCAAGTTTGATGAATGAATTTAAGGGGGTGTATTCAATTGAGAATTTGAGAGACTTTAATGGATTTATAAATCCATGAATTTTTATGGAGTTTAATTGATTTGTAGAGATTCTATCTAAAATTTTGATTCAATTCCCTCAAAATCTCATGGGGAGAGGTGAGATTTGTGGATGCTTAAAATACACTACGAAATCTCTTCAATTCCCTCTAATTCCTCAACTTTTTCAAATTCTTTAAAATTAATTTCTAATTGAATACATCTGAAATGTTATAAACTTCTTTAAAATCCTAATTGAATACACCCGGATTTTTAAGGATTTTAATAAATTATCTTAAAATTCTAATGGAATACACCTTGAATTTTAGAGAATCACTTAAAATTCTGATTGAATACCCTTAAATTCATTAAAAGAATTAAAATCCCTCAAAATCCTACTTTTATGTAACGTTTAGATATTTATTTTATTTATTTGACGTATGTATCACTAACCTTGGTTAATGGTATTTCAAGTGCCTCAATACTGATGCTAATGAATCTTAACTATTTGTTTTGTATTACTTCAATATTTTGAAATAATTTGTTTAAATTAAGATATTTTTTTTTTTCAAAATACAAAGTATATCAAATAGATGGACCCTTTGACAAGTGGCATTTACCATAGTGGTGGAAAAAGTGTTAAGACCTTGTATGACAGTGTGGATTCAAACTCCGTCGTTAGCTAATCTAACACAATCTATTGTTTGACAGAAAAATAAAAATAAAAATAGATTGATCATTTTTTAATCAAATTATTAAATTAATAGCTCATCCAGTATTATATCTTTTTTTATCATGTTACACAATTACAAAATTTACCAAACACTCTAACATTTTCTTTTACAAAAATAATTTTTACTATTATAATTTATCAAACACTTAACTAATTTTTTTACAGCTATTTATTATTTTAACATAATATAATCAATTTTTGTTAAAACAACTATACCGAACTAGCCCTAAAACAAAGAGAGAAAAGTGCAAAATATATTAATAAAATAAATTTAAATAAAATAAAAATATTAGAGGAAAGGGCAAAAAACAAAGGCTTATTTTTAGTTGTGCTAGTGAAACTCTATTTTAATCTCACTTTCCTCTTGTAACTAAAAAACCGATCACTATACTTTATGAATTTCAAAATGCATTTCACTTTGTCTCGGCAGATTGGACTCAAAATTCATTCCATTTTGACGACTTTCAAGTTTTATGGGGTAAATTGGACTCAAAATTGAGTTTACGAGGTTAAGTAAAACAAATTTTGAGTTTTATATCATCCATAAAAGGTGACTTAAAAAACAAACAGTTCAGATCCTCGAATGGAGAACGGATGTTAAAACAAAAACAAACGTAACTTTTCCTTGTAGATTTGTTGATTGTCAAGGACAATACCGAATTTCACAAGTCCTAAACCTCTTGTTGATTCACCAAGAATGCCAAGAAGTTTATCACACGAGCGTTGCTGATTCTCTGTACGAGAATGGGCAATGATTGTTGGGGTGTCTATACCTCGTTAATTCCATTGGAATATCCAAGTTGACAGAACAAGAACAAAAACGAGAAAACTCTCTCAAGCTGCACTCAATTTTCAATTCAATTCATCATAATTTTTCCCCTATAATACAAAATACTCTTAATTTATAAAAATTCTAACCCCCTCTTAATAATTACTGATACATGCATCATTACTAGAGAGTTAATGAACTCATTAAGATTAACCCCGCTAACATATATTTATTACATTAAATAAAGATTCAGTCATCCTGCATCATTCTCACTGGTTTGGAAAGAATTCGTCCTCGAATTCAGACTTCCTTGTTCTGAAATCTTCCAGGAATAATGATGAGGTTTTCCACTCCAATCAAACAAATATTTAGAAATCATGAATATTCTTGAACCGCAAAGCTCACGCTCCATAGTCAATCTTGCAATGCACAATTTCTTCTTATTTGTCTTTATCATGCTTACAATATCAACCAGATAATAAAATTTGAAACTTTCAATCCCGATCAAATCGACAAATTCAGAACTACCCAACATGTGAAACAAGCCATGGGACTCGACTTCCATATCTTCAAAGGAAAACTTGAAGTTGTAGCCTTCAACATTTTCAAGGTCCCATCAACTTGGAATTGCATCACAAATTTCACAACCCTCACAACAACGATCAAATATTGGAGGAAGATCTAGATTGAGACCTCCATTTATTGGTAGTTGCGACATGTTGGTGTTGTTACCCTTGATACAACGTCACATTTGGATCAAGTTAACGCTCTGATACCAACCGATGCAATGATCAAAACATGAATCAGTTGATTAATAAATCCGGATACCGATCCTCGAATGGAGAATGGATGTTAAAACAAAAACTCACGAAATGCGTAACTTTTCCTTGCAGATTCGTTGATTGTCAAAGACAATACCGAATTTCACAAGTCTTAAACCTCTTGTTGATTCACCAAGAATGCCAAGAAGTTTATCACACGAACGTTGTTGATTCTTTGCACAAGAAAGGTCAATGATCATTAGGGTGTCTATACCTCGTTAATTTCGTTGGAATATACAAGTTGACAGAACAAGAACAAAAATGAGAAAACCCTCTCAAACTGCACTCAATTTTCAATTCAATTCATCATAATCTTCCCCCTAGAATACAAAATACTCGTAATTTATAAAAACTCTAACCCCCTCTTAATAATTACTAATACATGTATCATTACTAGAGTTAATGAACTCATTCAGATTAACCCCACTTAATCTACCCCACTAACATATATTTATTACATTAAATAAAGATTGAGTCATCCTGCATCAATTATTGAATGATAAAATAATATAAAAAAGGCAACGTATTTAGAGTAGGTACCATTTCAACCTTGTAGTATACTTTGATGACCTGTAAGTTTAATGGGTTGAGTTTGAATGATTCGTTGATCTAATTAGTTGTATTAAAACTAACCCAAATTTAAAACTCAACTCATCTACAGGTCTAATTTGGGATATAAAAGAAAAGAAGGGCAATTCTAATGGATAAGTGAGTGAAGAACGTCATTGTTACAATGACTCTTAATAACTTCATAAGGAGATAACCTGAACGTGTTGTCATTTTAATGACCTTGATGACTTTAGTGGATAGAGCGATATCGATTATGATGTAGAGAAATACCTTAAGGTTAGTTTGGTATTACTGTATTGTAAAATAAAAAACTATTTATGTTGTGCTGTGAGAATAAACAACTGTAAAATAAAGTTGTTGAGTGTTTGGTAAACGTTTATATATAAATTGCTTTGAATATGTTAAATGTCTAAAAAGGAGATGATATTTAATGTGATATAATAATTGTCAAATACAATAATGTAGGGGTAAAGAGTGTAATTTTGTAAAACATGTGAGAGTATATTTGCTATTTGAAAATTTCATTAAATGAGCATTGATTACTATGCTTTGAAAAAAAAATTACCTATTTCTACTTTCATTGACAACAGTTTTTATTTATTTATTTAAAAAAAACACTTTTTTTTTTACCAAACTTATTTAATGTTCTAGATTTTTTAATAAGTCGCAAGTTTGATGAATGAATTTAATTAGACGACTTTTATGTAACGTGTGGATATTTATTCTATTTATTTGACGTATGTATCACTAACCTGGTTAATGGTATTTCAAGTGCCTCAATACTGTTGTGCTAATGAATCTTAACTATTTGTTTTGTATTACTTCAATATTTTGAAGTAAATTGTTTAAATTAAGATATAATTTTTTTTTTCAAAATGCAAAGTATATCAAATAGATGAACCCTTTGACAAATGGTATTTTACCATAATGGTGGAAAAATGCTAAGACCATACACGACGGAGTGGATTCTAAGTAAAGTTGCAGTAGCTAAAAAAATAAGCCAATTACAAATTGCCCCCCACATTGTAACATAAACCCATTCGATTCGAAGAAAGAGCAAAATACAAAAATGGCGAGCGAGGAAGAGAGCGCCGTGAAGGAGCCGTTGGATCTGATAAGGCTCAGCCTCGACGAGCGCATCTACGTCAAGCTTCGCTCCGACCGTGAGCTCCGCGGTAAACTCCATGTACGATTCCACACCCTATCTATCATGTCTCTCGCTCTGCTGTAAATTAGGTTTTCTCTGCTCTCTGGGTTTTTCTAATTAGGGTTTTAGATGGGGCAAAACTAAAAATAATGGGAAAATAAAATTAGGGTTTAAAGTTTACTACTTTAGTGTTAAGTGGGGAATGGATATGCGTCAAGGTTTGATTTTCATCTTCTAGTCTCAAACACCAATAACAAAATTGTGATGTATGCTCTATAATTGTCTTATTTGGCATCTGTGATAGGAGCTCCAGTCTTTTATTTTATTTTAAATTGTAAGTTTTTTGCTTTTATATATCTCTTCAGGTGTTGTTTTGACACTACGATGATTTATCGAAATGACAATGGTGTTGGTGGTTACTATTGCAGTTTATAACTTGTGGAGTGATGATTTAGTTTGCTCTTATTACGAAATTATACTCGACTGTTTTCTCCGGTTAGCCGAGCTAGGAAAATTGTGTGTCTTTATAAGAAATTTGTAGCGAAAAAATGTGTAAACGAACAGTATTCTTCTATCGAATAATGAGTATGTACTAAAGAAACAGGAACAAAAATGAGTTGATTGTTTGGTAAAGAAATTTTTTTGTGTGAGAACGAGTCGTTTGAACTTGATGCAATGACACAAGGGATGGAGGGGTAAAATGGTGGGTGGATGAGGGAGTTTCTTGTATATTACATCATGTCAAGTGATTATTTTAAAGTGGTACTTGCTATCATAATATTTGTGGTTATAAAAGCTTCCTGTCCGATTCTGATATTGTTGTTTTTTTAAATCTGGCTTTTGCAGGCTTATGATCAGCACTTAAATATGATTCTTGGTGATGTTGAAGAAATTGTTACTTCTGTAGAAATTGACGATGAAACTTATGAAGAGATTGTTCGGGTATGTAGCTCAAATTCTGTTGTCTTTATCACTATGTCTATGTATAACAAAAAAATTTGTAAATCAATTTAACTCGGAGTGTTGTTTTTCTAGAGGACTAAATTGCATAAATAACCAAATGATCTGTAACTTTGGAATGGATCTGCTGTAGTGACCGTATTCTCAGATAGGCCCAGAGGCATTAATCTTTACTGCCTATGGGAAGGCTCCGTTAGATATGAATGTGTTGAGTTTTTCTTCTGTCATTTATTTATCTCATCTTTAAAAGATGACTAAACTGAAGCTAATAGAGGTTAAGTAAACATGGTAACAATCTAACCCGTAAAACATAATTAACAAAGAAGAAGACAAAAAGGATGATGAATATTTGTCTGGATTTTCTTCACATATGTTTCGCTACATTTGGTTTTAATATAGATCCGTATTTGTTTAGTCTTGTACGTTTGGCTGTCGTTACTACCTCTGGTCGTGTATTACATTTTTGGTTGACCACCATTTTTAACTTTTTCCATTGCAG